ATGATATACCACGTTCGATCATTCGTAGATGTGAATTGTGTATTGAACAATTGGGTTTACATTTCGAGCAACTACTTTAGATTTTGTATGTTTGTCCTAACTATCCAATAGCATTTCAGTTGTAAATAATCAATTTAATTTGTTAAAAATAATATTGGAAAATTAAACAAATTAATATTCTGTTTTTTTTTTGTTTATTTGGAGTTAGGAATTATTGCTGTGTTTAAAAACACAATCTAAACGATCATCTTAATTACTTGTAATGCCCAAATCGAAAATTAAAAAAAAATATTATTTTCCCATAAATAATTAAAAATGCATCGAACCTTAAAAATCAAAATATCTCAAAAACGGCTAACTATAACGAAAACTCACAAGAGAGCTTTTTTATGCAGAAAAGTGCGAAGAATCAGTTTTTTTAATCCAAAAAGCAAAAAATTGCACTAAGAACAAATTTTCGGTCATTTTAATACGCTACAGGTACAGCAGAGAGCGCCCTCTAGCGGCTACAGTAAAACTATGCCCATGGTTCGTTTTGTCGTACCAAAAAACCCTTGCATACCAATTTTCACTGTTATACATCAAATATTGTTCGAAATATTTAAAAAAAAACTATTTTAAAAAGTAAATTTAAACACCCTGTATTTCGGAAGCCACGCGTTTTTCGACCCATGTTTATATAGACTTTATGCATTAATTTTAAAAGTTCTATTGAATCTGAAAGTTATGCATTAATAAACTGAAACACCCTGTATATGTAAATATTTGAGAGTTTGTTATTGTCTAGGTTTCAAATGCAGTCTTTAGAACTGAGAAGGAAGTGTGCATCAATTATGGTCTTGTTAATCTACTGCACAATCAAATTGATGCTAATGGGATTGTGGCTCAAATAAACTTTAATGTTCCATCTATTCAAACTCGTACAGCTAAAACCGTGTATTGTGACAGGGCTCGCACAAATTTGTTTTTGAAGGCACCCATATATGTGTGAAACTTTCAATGCAATATCAAATTTTTATATATACAAGCTGACAGTTTGAACACCATTCTGGGAGTAGCTAGAAATTGCTTGGATAATTTATGATATGTTAGGGACCGTTCAAGTATTACGTGAGCACTATGGGGGGCGGGGGGGGGTCTTTGTTTTGCTTATTTTGGATGACATGGGGGGTAGGGGAGTCTCGATGATGATTACGTCATCGGTAGTTATTTATTTTTTTACACGAATGGCAACCCTCACATTGTCGTTGCTTGAAAACGAAACGCATTTTCGGGGATTCCCGCAAATAATGCATACGTTTAGTGGACAGCGCGCGGTAATTCCCCTGCTCGCTTTAGAACCGAATAGGGGAATTACCGCGCGGTGTTCACTTGCCTAAATTTCCTCTATCAGCGTATTGTTTCCTTTGGATACTATAGCGAGTTGACGTATTGTAAGCATAGTAAAGCAAGTTAAGATTTGTGTTACCATTGATTCCATTAGCCAAAGTTTAATGTTTAAATAAGATGTCGTTTCACATAGACAAATCCAAGTTATACCAAAAATTGTTTGAAAGTTTTAAAAAATAAAAGTACGAAAGTACAAAATGTACAAAAGTTAGTTAACGAAGTGTGGCGAAATTACAAATTACAAGCAAAATCCGACAAGGAACTAGATATTATTGTATCTAAGAGAATCGAAGAAGAATTGCAAGCGGCGACTAAGAATAAATCCAATCTACTAAATTTTTTTTCTAAGGTGAGTGACGAAATCATTTTAGGTACCTATGAGTACTAGAAATATTAGAAATCGCCAAAAAGTTTCTCTTTACTGATTAGAAAATATTATGGCCTACCTCAAAGTATAGAGGTAATATTCATGATATTATAGATTTATTTCTTATGAATAATTCCGTCAATTGGTCACAAAGTACAGGATGTTAGTTTTATACATATATACAGAAAACTAACACCCTGTATTTTGTGACCGGAACGAATTGCTCGTTTAAACATATTAGATTTAAAGCCATAGGGTTTTGTATTTACCATACTTTGTATTTATGTAGCTTAATAAGAGAATCTTTAGCAGAAGTCATAGAAAGTTTTTATTTTTAGGCAACCTGTAAACCTGCAGAAAAAACACAAATTATACAGTCAGCTTCAAATATTAAAAAAGAGGAAGAAGATAAAATAAAACCCGGCAATGAATCACAACAGCAATGCGAAATTAATGAAAATACAGATAAACAGAGAGCAAAACCTTCTCAGGAAGCTATGAAAAATAAGATTGCTCTACTCGAAAAAAATCTGAATGCCTTGTATTCTGCCTGAGATACTATGCCAAGCCCTGCTGAAGTTGATAAACAGATCATTAAGTTGCGCGAGGAAATAAAAACAACAAAACAGTCTTTAAACAGGAAGGTTCAAAACGCAGTTGCCCAGAAGAAACACAGGGATGGTATGAAAAGAAAGTTAAAAGATATTTGTCATGAAATCCAAAATATACCAGGAGAGTCACAAATGGCGGTGCGACCTTTTCGTTAGAAAGAAAAGACAATCCACATAACGAATAATGAGAGGAATGAAGACCGCTACCAATCTGCAAAGATCCTTAGGAAAACTACAAGTTAGTTTAGGATGAGGACAAGTCACGATATCGGAAGCTGGGTGTTCCTAATTGCAATAACAAGAGCGTCTCCAAATGACTAGATTAATCAAATCAAATCAAATAGTTTATTGGTCTTTCCAACATATACAATGTATAGAACTCGTCAAAAGGAACACAAAATTTAAAATATTAAAAACAAATAAACATAAATAAATAATCTACAAGCAATTGAAGTCTCATAAAACACAATATTCCGAGAGGGCGTAATAGCATTTTTTTATAAGAAACTGCTTAAGTTCTATTTTAAAAAATCTCGTATCTTTGGGATTTCTTATTTCTACTGGCAAAGTGTTAAAAATGTTTGGCCCTAAATACCTTGGGTGCTTCCTGGATACATTGTATTTCACAAAAAGTATATACAGGGTGTCCCAGAAGTCGACGTCAAGCCGAAACTGGGTGATAGGCAAAGTCATAACAGCTATCAGAAAAATATTTAAAAAAATTTTATGTATGTGTTTTGAAAATTATAGGTCTTTGAAAAAGATATAGAAATTTCACACCCTACGGCAGTCTGTCAACTCCTGTTACTACAAATATTAACTTTTTTTGGATTTTATTTTTACAATGTAATGATGAATAATGCATCTTCAAACTGGTGTCTCAACCTTACTGCCAACTTTTCTCGTTCAGGCAAAATTGCCACTTATTTCCCAACCAAGTATTCCAAAGTAAAACTTTGCTCAACTTTAACTGGCTGTACTGGAAAAAAATGTACTACGAGAGTTTGGCAAGTAACCTTAAAAGTTGGCGCATTTAATAAGGATTCCAAAATGGTATAACACTTAGAAGATTACTCGTTAACTTATGCACAATTTTTATTTGAAGAAAAACTGATGAAAATTTTTCAAAATTTCCTAATTACACAGCGATTATGAAAACGCAGAAGGACCCTTAAGGATAACTGTTTGCACAACAGTGGGCGTCAAAATGCTGCTGATGATGATTTACCTTTACAGCAAATGCTCAAACTGTTTTCCTTCAGCCGCAATACACGCTCGACATCTTCTTAAAAAAGATCGGGTTATTAAACGAGCGAATCCACGGTTATTAACAAACTCAGCTGCTTCCAATAGTCTTTGCCGTAGCTCAGCTACATTTTGAATCGGCTTGAAATACACTTTTCCTTTTACAGTTTCCCAGTAAAAAAAATCTAACGGATTCAAATCTGGTGACCGGGCTGGCCACGGTATTGTACCAGACCGCCCTATCCATCTGCCTGAAAAGTTTTGATCGAGATACTCTCTCACTGAGAGTGCATAGTGCGCTGGGCAGCCATTATGCTGAAACCACATGTCCCTGTAAATACTCAGTGGCACGTCCTCCAATAAATTTTCTAAATGATTTTTCAAAAAACCTAAATAAACCTCAGCAGTCAAAGTCTCTGGGAACTCAAACGGACCGATTATTTTACCATTTAAAATTCCTGTCCAATGGTTTATCTTGAAGCGATATTGAGATTTAACTTCTCTCATCAAATGTGGGTTTGCTACGTGCCACTCGTGTAAGTTATGCAGGTTCATGTACTCATCTTTCTTAAATGTGGTCTCATCTGACCATAAAAAATTTTCAAAGAACCGTGGATCTTCCCTGTGTCTTTCTAATGGCGGATTTCCACCAAACAGACAAAACAGCAACAAAACAGAAACTCGTGTTTATCTCAACAAAACTGCAACTTTTCACCAACATTTTGTAGACAGGAGTCGCCGGCAACTGTTTTTGTTGAGTTTTTGTTGTGTTTTCGAAGTCCCGGTCGAAGGCGGTAACTTCAAAGGGTTTTCGCGCAACTAGCAACACAGTTGGTTTAGTGGAAACAGCTTGCGACGCGTCTCTGTTTTGTTGTAGTCTGTTGTAGTGTGTTGCAGTGTGCGCAGTTTGAATTTATTTGTGCTATTGAATACCTAGCAGTTAATTGCAGGATATGACTGAAGAAAAGAAAAAGTGGACCACAGAAGAAGTGGGAAATTTAATAGAAACTTATCGCGATTGTCCAAATTTATGGAACCCCACAAACCTGGAGTATAAAAATCGAGTGAAAAAAATGGACACTTACAAACAAATAGCTCATGTATTTAAAACAACTCCACATGAAATAGAGAGGAAAATAAAAAACTTAATTACCCAGTACCAACGGGAAAGGCGCAGTTACAAAAAAATGAAAAAATCAGGAGCCGGTCATGTTTTCAAGGCAAAATGGTTTGGTTATAGTGCCATGAGCTTCCTTCACGACAAAAACAAACCTAGGAAAGGAACACAGATTGGCGTAGAATTGGAGGTGAGTAGGTATTTTGTTTTTTTTGTGTTTATTTAAAACTCTAGCATTTTAAGAAAATTTACAACAAATAATTAAGCATACTGTGATTGCCATGGTACTTGTCCTAAGTCCGATATGAAATATTCGCTGAATTCGTCTCTAATTTCTCGGGCTTCTTGAATTGGTTTCCTTGCTATTCGTCTTATAGGCAAAAGTGAGTGACATGGTTCCGGATCATTTCTCCACAATCCTCCACTTACAGTACCAGAATCTAAGTGTTCGAAATCAAAGGAGCCTGGCGGTGTATATCTATCTTTCGATTCCACATCTCTACGTAAATAATTGTGCAGCAAAACACATGTTTGAACAACTTTCTCCACTTTGTCCGGCTCTAGTAACATAGGCTTGCGAAGGACCCGAAAAACAGATGCTAGTATTCCGAATACGTTCTCGACGACTCTTCGAGCTCTACTTAGACGGTAATTAAAAATTCGTTGTCTTGACCCACGTTCTTGGTGCCCAGCATACGGCTTCATTATATTTTGTGACAAGGGGAATGCATCGTCTGCTAGTAAGACGTATGGTACCAGTTTTTCTCTTCCAGAAAGTGCCGCCTTTTGTGGCAGATTGAGCATATCTCTTTCCAATGCTTTGGCAAATCCAGTATTTTTGAAAACTCCTCCGTCTGATATTCGGCCCTGGCACCCAACGTAAACAAAAATAAAATTGTAACTGGCATCGACTATGGCAAACAATACAATACTAAAAGTCCCTTTATAATTGAAGAATTCACTTCCACTGTATTTTGGGGATTCTATGATTACATGTTTTCCATCCATACTGCCTATACACATCGGGAAGTTCCACATTGTATTATATCCATTTGCAACTTTTTTCCAATCCTCTGGATTTGCGGGAACCTTAAAACAAAAAAATTCAGGACCATGATCAAATGTAAGAAGGAAGAATCCCGAAAGGACACGATATCTGATTTCTTGATATTGGATTTCAAACAACTGATATTATTCCTAAAATAATCTTCATTTTAAACTATACAACCCACATTTTATGAAATTCAGCCAATTCAATGCGCACTCTATAATTACAGGGAAGTGATTCGTCAGATGAAGGTGATGAAGAAACCCAGTCTGATATGCAAAGCACAACCGAAGCAACGAATGAGTATGAAAGTGAAAGCGAAGTTTCAGAATGTCAGTTAACTGGGGAAATAGGCACACCTGCAGCAAATACAAGGGAAGAGCCTAAAATCGCTGCTGCAGCGTCAGTTAACAAAAATGTTTCAGTTGAGAATACAGAAAGTGCAGAATATTTTCAGAAACAAGCTTCCCAGAAACCACATGTTTTTAGTACTCCAAAAATTGGCTCAAGAAAGAAAAAACGTGTTGAGTCTGATGACAAAAATGAGACTACGGAGGTCTTTCAGATGATGAAGTCAGTATTTGAGAACAGGCAAGTAACTACATCAAGGCGCGACGAATACGACGTGTTTGGGGAAATGGTGGCCTGCAATATCAGACATCTGCAAACTGAACATGCTAGAGTTACTGTGCAACACAAAATAAATAACCTACTATATGAGGCTCGAATCGGTTATTACAATTATCCAGAAACCATGCGAGTCGTCGTGCCATCACCTTCACCTAACAGCAGTCACACTGTATCATCTGACACCCAGTCGGCAATGACGGAGACGGAAGTACAACAAACTTGGAGTGATGACGTTTTACAAGTTGCCATTGCATCATCCTTTGGGCTGAATACAAATCATGACGATAATACAAATCAGGACATGTTTCCAAAGAATTAACCTTAAGTTACTGTACGTACTATTTGTCAAAATATATTTTCGTTGCAGTATCCTATATACAGTGTGGCCTTACCTTTATATTATCCTTTAGACCTTCGCATAGGGCACTGCAAACTTCGGGCACAATTCGTGAAATTGATGATGCAGATGCTTTACATAAATACATCAAACTTTGATAGCTGTCCCCCGTAGCAAGGAATCTTAGTGTTATAGCTAAACGGTCTTTTACGGATATAGCGTCTCTGTAATTTGTGTTTTGTTTGCGAATCTTTGCGCCGATCAGAGTTATCAGGTTTTCAAAATCAGTGCTGGACATTCTCACAAAATTATGAAACGATGATCGCAACTCGCCATGCAATCCAAAATCATCCGTTTTCAACTGAGTAAGCATTTCTGCCGCGCCATTATTTTCTCTTGTAGTCAACAGCGATCTCACCCAGTACCTGTGCTGTCGACGCTTTTTCCTTTTCTTTGCTTTAGAATGCAATATAAACCATCCACATAACATGATGAAAAGATCATCTTCATGCCACATGATCAACACAAAACACTGTCTGCCTAGTGGAAAGGAGTGACAACTTACACACAACTAGGACTGTAGTCGAGTCTGTTCAGTTGCAACAGCGTTTCTGATTTGGTTCTGTTTTGTTGCTGTTTTGTGTTGTCTGTCGGAGTTTTCATATTCGGAAACAAAACAGCAACTCGACGAGTCGGTTTGGTGGAAATCCGCCATAACATTGTGCGACAAAAAGCAACTCGGGGCTGATAATCCCGGGGCAAAAGACCTTGAACACGCTGTACGTGGTATGGATGGAGCACGTTTTTTTGCAAGATTCTATGAGCTGTACTTTTGGGCACACCTGTTTTTAGTTCTATTGCGGCTGAAGGAAAACAGTTTGAGCATTTGCTGTAAAGGTAAATCATCATTAGCAGCATTTTGACGCCCACTTTTGTGCAAACAGTTATCCTTAAGGGTCCTTGTGCATTTTCATAATCGCTGTTTAATTAGGAAATTTTGTAAAATTTTCATCAGTTTTTCTTCAAATAAAAATTGTGCATAAGTTAACGATTAATCTTCTAAGTGTTTATACCATTTTGGAATCCTTATTAAATGCGCCAACTTTTAAGGTTACTTGCCAAACTCTTGTAGTACATTTTTTTCCAGTACAGCCAGTTAAAGTTGAGCAAAGTTTTACTTTGGAATACTTGGTTGGGAAATAAGTGGCAATTTTTCCTGAACGAGAAAAGTTGGCAGTAAGGTTGAGACACCAGTTTGAAGATGCATTATTCATCATTACATTGTAAAAATAAAATCCAAAAAAAGTTAATATTTGTAATAACAGGACAGACTGCCGTAGGGTGTGAAATTTCTATATCTTTTTCAAAGACCTATAATTTTCAAAACACATACATAAAATTTTTTTAAATATTTTTCTGATAGCTGTTATGACTTTGCCTACCACCCGGTTTCGGCATGACGTCGACTTCTGGGACACCCTGTATAATTAGTTACATTGTCTTGTGTATAGTCCATGAACATCTTTATTTTTTAAATAGCTTTCTAAATTCACGTATGTTAACACAGCCAATTCATATATATAAGCCATTCTGTATCTTTTGAACAGTTCCCTACAACTATGCATACTCTTTACTTTAGAAACGCGTTTGATCTGTCATATAAATACATCAATCCTTGCACTTGATGTACCCCAGAAGCAAATGCCGTACTTTAGCCTGGATTCAACCTGTGCATAGTATAGACTGATAATTTAATCTTCATTTAGAACTGTACGTAAATTTTTATAAATGTATGAATGTGAATTTAGAAGTGACATCATATACTTGCAATGTGCTTCAAAATTTAAACATTCATCCGAATATACTCCCAAAAATTTAGTGTCGTCATGGAACTTGATCTGTTTGTCATTCAACCTGATATTCATGTCATCCAACTTCTTCTGCACATTGTGAAATCTTACTACAGCAGTCTTCTCTGAGTTTAAAAATAATTGATTTTGTGCAAACTATTTTTCAAGATGCTTCAAAATGTCAATAAACTTAGTGACCAATACATCATCGTGAGGATCTGAAACTATAATTGAGGCATCGTCTGCATACAATGTAAAATTTACTTGGCCATTGAACAGTTCACCCAGATCATTTATATACAATATAAATAAAGGAGGCCCTAATATAGATCCTTGGGGAACTCCCACATCGATATCAACACATCAAGACTGGACTTGCTTTATTTATTATTAACATAACGTAACCTAGAAAGGCTACGCAGTCAGAGTCCATACAACCTGTGGCAAACAGAACAATGACGATCAGAGCATTTCAAACGCTGGTTAGAAAGATCCAGTAGGACAGCGTCTTCAACATGGTAGCAACTAGCAACCGCATTACTTTCCTAACAACAAATCCGTAGCTCCGGTAAAACATTCGATCCACCGGCGTTTTCACTGTTCTCAATTGGAATCCTCTAACCCCAACCCTAAACGAAAAGCTAGCATTCCCCTTTTGATGCGCGGAGAAACCAGGTCGTGGAAAAAACAGTCGAAATCCTGTAGGGTGGGGTTGGAAAGCTACCACAGCGGCGTCGGCAAGGAATAACACAGTGTTTGGAAAGGGTCGGGTATACATATTGATACTTTCAAGGTCACGATAGATTTGGGAGTTTCTCAGACAATTCATTGGTTTAAACGGTTGTGCATTCTTACCAAAACGGTGTCAGGAATGTACAGAATAGTTGGTTGGGTGCGGAAAACGTTACTGTTTATATATGAAAATTGATACAAATGACTTTGTATAGACGCGACATGTCCATAGTGTGAGCGCAGAGACAGGTACCAAAAGTTGTATGTTTGTACCTCCAATTTGACCAGAAGCTTGGGTTACAACACAAAACGAAATCGAGCTTTTCTTGCTTCTGTAATGGAAAGCGTACCTTGTCAACTATAAAGTATTTTCGTTCCTGTCAATGGATATTGAAAGCAATTGTATTTCTCAAGTCAAGCTATAGATGAGCATGATACAAAGGGTACTATAAAAGTTTTGCAATACAGCTTTATTTACCGATTCCCTTCAAAATAGTTTTCACCACATTAATACACTTCTCCATCCGCCCAAACTATTCTTTAAACCAGCTCTGCCAAGTTTCACCCGGGAGTGCGGCACACTCTCTCTTTGTTCCAAGACCTCATCGATAGAAAACCCTTTTAGCTTCATTATCACATGAGGAGCAGGGAGCAAGATCTGGACTGTAAGGAGCGTCCTCAATAAGTTTCAGTTCAGTAGTCATGCAACATGCACACATTCTGGCTCCGTCTACGAGATCCGCCGGTTGGTACCTCCGCGTTCGACAGTCAGAGACCGTCTATGACCTACGGACAATCACAACATCGATAGCCAAGAGAAAAATTTCTCTTGGAACGGGATTCGAACCCGCACAGCGCTCGGCAACTGATCAGGAGACCGAAGAGTCTACTGCTGCGGCAACCGCTGCTGCCTTGTCATGGTGGAGATACCAAGTGTTTATTCTCGACTTTGACCGTACACTGTTGCGTGTACCACTTGGCTGTGACTGTCTTCTGTGCGTCCAAAACGACACGTTCCACAATGCCCCTCTATTTGAAAAATACAGCTATCATTTTTTTCTCAAAAGATCGGGATTTTCTGGCAGCTACAAGTGTACCCTCAGTGTCAAAGACCCAAACTTTGTTTTGAGCCTTGGTCAGCACATCGTAATAACGGAGCCAAATCTCGTCAGCTGTCATGATGCTGTTCACGTACCGAGATTGCCCCTTGTCAAACATATTCAGCATCTTCCGACGAGTCTTCTGGTCTTCCCTCAGACTATGCTGTACCCAGAGACAACAAAGTTTCCTTACGTGTAAATGGTCACGCAGAATTGAATGAATTGTTGGTACGTGAAGGTGTAAGGTCTCCTCTATCTGTTGGATGTCACTATCCGGTCTTAGTCAAGCATTTTCCTCATGTTTTCCTCTGTTACTGACGTTCGCGGCCTTCTTTCCCTCTCAGCGTAATCCAGACTGAAATAGCCACTTTGGAATTCTCTATACCACCTGA